AGATCTTGACTCCTCTAGGCCCTTATAGACATAAAGGTCTCGACTTTAGAAAGCCTTGGCCTTTCCCTATGCTCTAAACCTCTTGTTAAACTTAGTTCTAGTGTTTTAATCCCTTTGAGGCCTTGCATCCACATAAAGTTAGCAACTTTACATGCTATCTTAGCCCTAAGAGGCGAGATCTATAGTCTGGAGCCTTGGTTTCGCTTAGAAGCATCTGAATGAGAAAAGGGTTGAAGGAACTCGACGAGTTGCATAGCCAACTCGACGAGTTGGATGGGTTTACTCACCTTATTGATTCTAAATGAACTCGCTGAGTGGGTGAGATGACTCAGCGATTTAATTAGGGTTTCCTTGTTTTCTAGACACTGAAGAACTCAATGAGCTACATAGGTAACTCGGTGAGTGGACTCGAGTTTTCGACTTCTAAGTTCTTAAGGAACTCGACGCAGTGGATGAACTCGATGAGTTGGGTTAACATGGACTGTTGGCCTTGACCATTGACTTTGACTTTAACCAAGGGTTAACCAACTTTGACTTCTGAGCGTATTTTGGTAATTTGGGATTTTAATGGAATAAGTCATATGGTGGTTACAGGCATTTGAGTTTGGAGCTGTGTGTTGGGATTCAACTTTATCTATTCAGCAATACTTGAGAGGTGAGTTGTCCTCACTGTACTAACAGGGTCGAAGGCACCAATGTTTGCCCTTTTTGGATTGTTATCCTGGTTATCGCATGATGATATGCTTAGTGACTTGTTAGGTCGGTATCCTAGTATATAGGATGATGGAATGTTAGTGACATGTTATGTTGGTATCCTGGTATATAGGATGATGCTATGATTAGTGATCTGTTAGATCGGTTTGAATGTTTGTACATGCTAGCTAGCGTTTAATATGTATGTATGTATGTATGTATGTATGTATGTATGTATGTATGTATGTATGTATGTATGTGTATATATATATATATATATATATATATATATGTTGATTGTATGTTTGGGGATGGGTTGAGGTGGTCCTGTTTTGTGTTGAAGGCCAACAGACCCAGGGCGGTCCGGATAGACTGTAGACCCATGTAGGCGTATCAGTCAGGCCGAAGGCCCGGAGAACGGTCTAGAAAGGCTGAAGGCCTAGGAGGGCGGACAAGACATGTTGAAGATTTTGAGAGTGGGCCAGACAGACTAAAGGCCCGATGAGGGCGGTCCATTCATACTGTAGACTCTATATGCATGCTATTTGCTATGATATGGTTATGGTTTGTATGGTGTTGGTATTTTGGGGAAACTCGCTAAGCTTTGAGATTACAGTTTTGGATTTTGTTTCAGATACTTCGGATGATCGGGGGAAGGTGAAGGCTTGATCGTGCACCTTCTCGCATTTTATAATTTTGATTTCGGGGATACCCTGATATGAAACTATTTTGAAAATATTTTGTAATAAATATTGGTTTTTGGATGTTTGAAAAGGTTTTATATTTTCATGAATTTTATGGATGTTATAAGTTGGTATCAGAGCATTAGTTTGAGTGAATTGGAGGAACACTCATGTGAATCCAATCTCAAACTAAGGAAATGATTTTCAAATGGTTTTCAAAATACTAAAGGAGGATGCAGAGTGTACGATCAGTCGGAGCCATTATGTAGACCTGAAAATACCATACGGATATTTGAAATTGTGATATATTAGCACAACATGCTAGTGATAGGCTAGGGATCTTTAGGAATTACATGATAAAATTTTCTGATCGTATGATCTGTATAACCTAGGGTTTTCCTTATTTGAAATTGACATCATTACTATAGTTGCTAAGTGTATGCATTGTAGTTGTACATAATTAAGATCTTATGGCCTGAGAATGTTTGTTTTAGCCTTATTTCCTGCTCTTGTTTGATGAAGGCCTTAGGGTAGGATCAGATATTCGAATGTTTATGGGGTCCAGCATTATGTATGACTAGCATACACTAGTGCTGCAAGGTTGGTGGAAGTTTCATGGATGAGTTGTGATGGGTCAGTCGACAAGTTATGAGATATTTAGCCTTCCTCTAGAAGTGAGTATTATACGCTCGCCTATGCTTATGTATATTGTTAGGGCATTGTGATGATAGTTGATGCAAATATGGGTAGGTGTGGAAGGTAGTATCGGCCCGTACTACTGAAAGTATATGACCCATAAGCATAGCGAGGAAGTTACAACCCCTAGGATTTTGGTTTGGAGTTGGTTCCCCATTATTATATGGGATGTCGGATATCTTTCTGGTACATTTTCAGCATGGTGGTTACGAGGCGATTTGTGATCGGATTCGGTTCAGGATCAGGAGCTGGTAGTAATGGTGAACTAACAGTGCATGAGACAATTGACCAAATGATGCTAGATGAGTTGGATGCCGGGATTCGGGAGATCCTGCATGATGAGGTTGCTACATTGTTCTGACACAGTTGTCGGAGATGTTTGGTACTATCAAGACCGATATGGTCGAGTACTTTGGTGAGCGCTATGCAACCACTGCTGAGATGGCTGTCACTACAGCCTCCACATCTGTAGCAGCTGCTAGTGGTGGGACCAGTCAAGCTTTTCAGTATCGAGAATTCGATAACACGAAGCCCCCAACTTTTGATGGGTTTCAAGACCCGATCATAGCCCTGAGGTGGCTATCTGACGTTGAGGGATGCTTTTTCACATGCTATCACACACCCAAACCGGAACGGTGGAAACGTTCGGGGGCGAAGGATGTCATGTATAGTATCACAACAATTGAATAATAGTAATCAAATCAACAACAATAATTTGTATTAGGAATATAGTGTTTACAGTGTATTCAAATCACATAGGAGTGACTCCAAAAGTAATTAACAAAGTAAAGACTTGAAGCTACTATGCTCCGTCTTTTAGAACTTGTGCGAGTACTTGTCTACTAGTGCCCTGATAATACAAATGGTTTTGTAAGTGTCAACATTAAATTTAGTGAGTTCACAAGCATTTGTTTTAGAAAACATGTTCTTTGTTCCTTGAAAACATTAGTATGTTCTTCCGGAAAATCTTATATTTTCTGATGTTATGTAAAGTAAGAAATGTGACCCATGCTAGTTCCTTCTATGAGTACACAACAAATATGAACTATATATATTTAGGATCAAGCAGAAAGTTGACTGTATGGTTCTCCCCTTAGTCCACAACCAAACAAGGAACAGGAAATGAGGCGGAAATCAAACATTCCACTGTCTATCGGATCTTCATTGTATACAACCCTAACGCATTCACTAGGTACTTATAGAGTTAATTGTAATGATTCTTTTTGAAATGTATGTGTAATCCTACAGAAAATCCTATACTTTATGATGTAATGAAATGTAAGTTCTGTCCACTTGTTCTTGGAAAAGTAATGTAATTCAGTTGTGTTTGCAGTGAAACCCTTTTTGTGTGTATGTACTTTGTTATACATTTTTTCAGAAAAGTATTTTCGTAGTAGAAAATAGCGTATTGTACTTGTATATAGTGATCTGACCCATACCTATTTTCCCATGTAATTACTTAGTGTATACATGTCATATATAACCAAGATCGAATAGGTAGTAAATTGTGTGAATCTGCTCTAAGCCCACAACCAACCAAGGAACAGGAAATGAAGTGGAAATCACGCATCCTACTACCTATCGAAACGTATAAATATAAATAAACTTTGATGCATAAACTAAGGAATCATAGTGTTAACATTATAGGTCCCCTCTGGTTTGTATGTTAATGTTACTTGTAAAAATGCATGGTCTTATACTAGAATAAAACCTATGAAGTAGTGTTAATCCCATAAACATCATTTAGTTGATACTATTGTGAGTTTCATATAACCATGATAAATGACTAGTCACCTCTACGATGTTCTTCAAGCGTCGGAATATTATGATGTTTGTCACCCGAGGCCTACTGACCTAGCTATTACAAGAAGCTCAGTTGCGAGATTGTCTATCCCGTATAGATCTATACACAAACTCACGCTCTCCCTCCAGGAGACTCTGGTTATAATTTGTAGGATTTGAACATGTACCATGGTGGGTACAATTTAGTAGTGCCTCAGAACCCTGTATTAACTAGTTTACGTGTCTCGTTATAATGTTCTCTTGTATTTGTAACTATTTGTATTATCTTGTAGTAATGTACTTTGTAATTTAAAATAATTATATTTAAATAATTATTTAGTTATGTAACCATGATCTTAGTAAAACAGAATAATGTTCCTGTATCATTTCTTGAATCTTGTAAAATAATGTAATCATGCACAAACTATACCTATTATAGTTTAGATGTAAGTTTTGTAATGAAGTGGAAATCTTTACAATTTAGCAATGTATAAACACAATGTTAAGAGACTTTTGAAAAATACCCTTTTGCTCGATGTATTATAAAGGGTTGTAAATTTAAGAAATAATATTTTATATTCACAGCATATATAAATAAGAACGGAAAGACAGTCGAATAAATAATTCTATACTGAACCCACAACCAGACAATGAACATAAACCATAATTACTAAATTAGTTTGATATAATTTCAAATGTTTTAAAACAGTTTTAAAATCGTTTAGACACAAGAGTACTTGTTTCTTACTTGTATCCCCCCTGACAATAGTGAAAAATACTGAAAACGTAGGGGTATGAACTCACCTCGAATGTGTGTGCTCGGCTGAGTCGCGAAGTACTAATGGTGGTCCTCGGATTAGAATACATGACAATAGTTGTATCCTAAAAATAATTATCCCTAATCGTCGTATTTAAATTAATAATATATTAATTTAAAGGGAAAACTGCAATAAAGTCCCTATGTATTGCCCGTATAAGCGATTTAGCCCTATATATATATATATATATATATATATATATATATATATATATATATATATATATATATATATATATTTGCAATTTAGTCCTAAATACTTGTAAACGTAATCAAAACGGGAAATTTAATGGGTTAGCCGGTATCCCACCGATACTATGCGCATGTGGCACCTTACGTGTACAAGTGACTTTTACCCTTCCATTTCTACTGCATTTGATGTCTGGTAGATCGATTAAGAGAAAAAGTTAGTGTTTTTACAGAGTGATACACGAAGGAAGTAGGGTTTTACTGAGAGAAACGAAGGTAAAACCCAATGGCTGTCGAATCAGAGGTTCACCACGAGTCATCTGAAGAATGCGACTCTGAAGAATACGAAGATGATGAAGAGGTGCTCGATACTGAGCACATAGATGTGGAAATGGAAGAAGTTGATTTCAAGACACAAGGTAAAGAGAGATGCAAGGATGCTTTCCTTAACTTCAGTTCTGATTATGAAGATAATGAAGCTGATGAAGACAATGACTTAGTTGATGAAGATGAAGAAGGGTTTGGTTTAGAAGACGAAATCGATGACACTGCACGGGCTAATGATCTTGATTTGGGAGATGCGGTTGGTGCAGGCTTCCCCATTCACGACCCATCAGTTAAGTGGAATAAGATGAAGCCCCTTCTTGGTGAAAGGTATGAATCACCACATCCGTTGCAACAATGTCTCACTAATTATGCTATTAAGTCAGGGTATAACATTAAATTCGCGAAGTGTGACACTGTGAGATTAACTGCCAAATGTGGTTCTAAGATGAAGTCTCAACCCTGCCCATTCAGAGTTCATGCTTCCTGGATGACTCAAGAAAGGTCTTTTCAGATTAAAACCTTAGTCGATGAGCACAAATGTGTTAGAAATTTCAATATTTCAAATTTACTGAGTCCCAGATGGCTAGCAAGACACTTTTTGAAGGAGTTGATAATGAAACCTAGCTTGAAGTGTAAGGAGATGCAATCAATAATTAGGACCAAATTTCATTGTGGTGTGTCTTGGTGTAAGGCTTACAGAACAAGGTGTAGAGCAATGACCATTATAGATGGTAAACTCATAGAACATTATGCTAGGGTGTGGGTCTATTGTCATGAGTTACTAAGGTCAAATCCTGGTAGCACTGTCCAAGTTGGTGTCACTGTAAATCCAGATCAAACAACATACTTTCACAGGATGTATTTGTGTTTTAAAGCAATCAAGGAAGGTTGGAAAATAGGGTGTCGTAGGGTAATTGGTCTAGATGGATCTTTCTTGAAAGGGACATGTAAAGGAGAATTACTCACAACAATAGGGAAGGATGCAAACAACCAAGTTTATCCAATTTCTTGGGCAGTTGTTGACATTGAAAACAAAGCTAATCAGAAATGGTTTCTGGAACTGCTCATAGAGAATCTTAATCTGCTAGATGGAGGAGGGTTTACTGTAATTTTTGATCAACATAAGGTTTGTAATTTCTTATCATATTTATGATTTTTCCTTAACATCATCTTATATGTTTATGTATTCATTAAATTGTAGGGATTGCTTGAAGCAACCAAGGAAGTCCTACCAAATGTGGAGCATAGACAGTGTGCAAGACACATATATGCTAACTTTAGGAAGACCTATTCTGGAGTGGAGTTCAAGAATATGTTCTGGACAGCTTCCTTATCAACTGTAGAGAGTGAATTTCTGAGGAAAATGGATGATATAAAAGAGGCTAATCCAAATGCTTATGAACATTTGATTGCAAGACATCCTCACACATGGTGCAGGGCATTTTTTAGGCCTGATGTAGCATGTGAGGCAGTTGAAAATGGCATAGCATAGTGCTTCAACGCCATCATATTGGATGCTAGAAAGAAACCCCTTCTAGCAATGTTTGAAGAAATTAGGTTGTACATGATGGATAGGTTCTACCATATGTTACAAAAGGCAGAAAAGTGGGAATTAGTGGTTTGCCCACTTGCTATCAAGAAAATGAACAAGTTTGGAGAGGATTTAAGGTCTGTCTTAGCATTTTTATTGTTCCTTGTTATCATTATTCTAATTTCATTGTTATGATTTCATTTAGTAATGCTATTGTAGGAATTGGAATGTGAATCTAAGTGGACCATCTGTTTTTGAAGCCAGGAATGGATTAGAAGAGTATGTGGTTAACTTACAAAGCAGAGTGTGCAACTGTAAGCTTTGGGATATCTCAGGAATTCCATGTGTACATGCACAATGTGCAATACTATTCACTGGACAAGATCCTGTTCATTTCATAAGTGAGTGGTTTAATGTGGACAGGTTCAAGGCCATATATGCAAACAATATACTGCCTGTGAATGGTAGAAATTTATGGCCTAGAACATCATACATAAAGCCTCTACCCCCTTTAGCTAGAAGAATGCCAAGGAGACCAACTCTGAAAAGAAAGAGGCATGTCACTGAATCTCAAGATAAATACTCCCAAAACAAGATGAATGTTACTGGAATAGGAAGGACAGTCCAATGCAAAAATTGTCTTCAAAGGGGTCATAACAAGGCATCCTGTAAGAATCCCAAGGTCACACCAGAACCCAAACCCAGGAAAAAATGGGTAGACCAAGATTGGATCCTGATATCAGTCATTGGACTAGAGGTGGTGTAAGAGGTGGTGTTAGAGGTAGTAAAGGTGGTGCAATGGGTAGTATAGGTGGTAGAGGGGGTAATAGAGGTGGTGCAGTGGGTAACATAGGTGGTGTAGTGGCTAACAGAGGTGGTAGGGGTAGTAAGAGAGGTGGTAGGGGTAGTAAAAGAGGTGGTAGGGGCAGTAAGACATCTGTTAGAGTTGAAGGTGTTGGAGGTGCTGAGGTTGAAGGTGATACAGTTGAAAATGAGGATGACACTATTCCTGAAAAATATTTAGTCCATTTATGGAAGTCAATGCAAGATTTGAAACAATCAGGGTATTCAATTGAAGAAATTAAAAATTCACTTAGTCTGACAGATTCACGTATGAAACAACTTAATGATTACAATGACACTATTGAACAAGTTCTTCCTATGTCTATGGTAAACCCTCTATATTACCTTAATGTTTACATTCATTTATGTTATTAATTTCTTGATGTTTTATAGGAAGAGGAGTATCCACCTCAGACTGAGACACAAGATGGGGGTGAAGAAATTATCCCTGAGACACAACCAGAAAGTGAAGAAGACGAAGGCATTAATGACACCCAGGAATTACCAGTACACCTTAGGATTGTGAAAAGAAGAAGGCCCTCTCAGAGGATTGTTAAAAACAAGCTGAAGAAGATGGGATGTGTTGGGACTTCTGCAAGTTAACCATTGGAGTTGGATTAGGGTGTTAGGGTGTTAAGGGTAGTAAGGGTATTTTGGTACATCTTTTGTGAATGCTATTTTTGTGAATCTTTTGTGAATGCTACTTTTGTACATCTTTTGTGAATGCCCTTAAATTACTGATAGCCATATTTTGTACATCTTTTGTAAACACATTGAAACATTGTGAATGCCCTTAACATGGTTGGTAATGACATATTGGAGTTTGTTATTTAATTATTTTAACTACAAGTGTGCATACTTCATTGGTTTGTTGTCAATGGTGATCATTCTAGCCCCAAATTCAACACCAATTGTTAAATCATGGTTATATTTCACAAGTGTACACCATTTATGCAAACCATAATAACATATTTCCATTTCATTAACCAAAATATTACATGATCCACAAGAACATTTATCTATTACAGTAAACCCTCCTCCATCTATTACATCATGATAACAAACCAAAAGACTACATCATCCCTACCATACCATAATACCTTACAACTTACACTAAACTAAGCATACATCATCCCTACAATGAAACAAACGAAACAAACCATCATCCACTTGCAGAATCCAAATTCATTACCCGGTACATGTGTATTCTCACGCATTGTAATTTGATTATCAGGTTCAAGAGCATTCACAGGGGAAATAGGGACATCAACATTCATAGGGGCAATAGGGCCATCAATAGGTATTTCACATTCATTAACAGGGTTATTGAAAGAAATAGCTACACCCCCATTAGCAACAGCTCCTAATTCATACATTCTTTCTTTATACCACTTATTCAATAGTGGTGGGTCAATCCAACGAAAATACCCACAGTCCTTCTCTTCATCCTACATAACATAGCAAGATGCATGTTTTTAACACAGAAAAATGGGAATTTTAGAGGATTAGAAGAATTTGGGTGAGATTTGAAGATTCTATACCATGTAATTTGGGCAACCAAAAAACCTCCGACCTGGATTCTTTCGAGTCCATGATGTCCACATACCAGCCCTATCTCCACAATAGCACATTTTGATGTTGGTGCTTGACGAACTCGACATCGATTTCATGTTTCCAATTTGCCCTAATCGTTCGCTCATTTGACTAGAGAATGAAGAAGATGAGCTCGATTCAATGATTTAGCCCTTTATAATGGCACATAGGATGTTATTTAACATGATGACTTCCAGGTAAGCTGCCACATCAGTTAGATACCGGCTAACCCATTAAATATCCGGTTTTGATTACGTTTACAGGTATTTAGGACTAAATTGCAAAAAAAATATATATATATAGGGGCTAAATCGATTATACGAGCAATACATAGGGACTTTATTGTAGTTTTCCCTAATTTAAATAATAAATTAAATAATGTTGTAAATAATAATTAAAGTGTTAGACAACACTTTAACTATGTAAGGAAAATACTTACAATAATAATTGTAATTGTTAAAGATGTTGAAATGGGTTCACGATTGGAAAAATGGAGTTTTCGGTTGACTTGATGAGTTTACAGTGTGTTCTTGGTGGATGTTTGAAGATTTGAAGGTCTGAATAAATGTTCTTGGTGCTCTTGGTGAATTATAAAGATTTGGGTAGAAAACTCATGAAGATATGGTGTTTACGGATGATAGTTGAGAGCAAAATGAAAAGTGTTTACAGCTGGAAAATGTTTTCGGATACACACCTATGTATAAGGGGTGTTTACGGTCCAAAATGGGCCAAGGCTATAGTGTTTACGGTTCTATAATGGGCCTTTAATAAGTTTTCGACCAAATAGGGAGGGTTTTCGGATTTGACATACCGTAAACACCATTGTGAATTAGCATTCCAACCGTGAACACCTTTATCCTTATTTGTTTTGGCCATGAACTCCGTGTCCTTTAATTCCTAGGTCGTGAATATCTTTATGGAATTGGTTTCCAAACCGTGAACACCTTATTGATTTAATTCCAATTCGTAAACCCTTTTCCCTTTAATTGTTTTAGACGAAAACACACACACACACACACACACACACACACACATATATATATATATATATATATATATATATAAGGGTTATTTATGGTTTAAACCCTTAAACTTTTACTTATGTTAATTATACTACCCTAAAATAGCTTAGTTTTCAATACATACATAGTTTCTAATGTATAAACAAACTCTACAGACTGTAGAGGATACAACGTAACAAGGATTGCATTGTAGTTTCACTTGTGCTAGATTAGGGTTTAGGCTTTACTAGGTCTAAAATTTTGAGTTGTGACACATCCTCATGTTCTACTGACCAGAAGGTTAGGTGTGCTCTGAACCTGCTAAGGTCCGGAGCAAAGGACTATTGGAGATTGATGACAGGGTCATATACTGATGATTAGAGCGTTGTGGCTATGTGGGTTCATTTTAGGGTGATGTTCCGCGCTCATTACATTCCATGGGTTGAGCGCGAGCGGCTAGAACAGGAGTTTTTGTATTTGAGATAGGTTACAGAGTCGATGACGGAGATCACCCGTATGTTCACTGATAGGGCGATGTTTTTCCCGGGGTTTGCTTCCGAGCATGCTCAGATGACACGTTTTCTGAGCATGTTCAAGACCGACATCTGAAAATTTGTTGCTATCCAACGTTGTCATACGCTACTGGAGTTACTGGAGGCTGCTAGGCGGCGTGAGATGGAGATTGAGTTATAGTTGTGGGACCAGAGTAAGGCCCCAGTGCAGTCACAAACTGCACCAAATCAGATAAAGACTGCTAATTCTAGGTCTGGGGGCCAGCACAGCTGCACTTGTACGAAGTGCGGGAAGGGTCATTCTGGAGTTTGTAGATATGGTAATGCATGTCGTAAATATGGCAAGGAGTGGCACTTTGCGAGGAATTGTCGCCAGTTATCCCCAGTTCAGGATATGAGGATCTGTTACCACTAAGATCTGGTTGGTCACATGAAGACCAATTGTCCATTGCTTGTTGCCCAACTGGCACATGCTCCAACACCAGCTACATTGAGCATTAGTAACGAGAGTCAGGGTAGATCAGAGCCCCCGAGGGCTCGGGAACGCGCCTTTCAGCTTACAGCCGAGGAGGCCAGGACAACACCAAATGTGGTGGCTAGTATGTTTCTATCCGTTATCTTATTGATTGTATTTATTTTGTTGTTATATGTTTGTACCTATGTCAGGTACGTTCTTAGTGAACTCCTTACCTGCTCCAGTGTTATTTGACTCCGGAGCGAGTCGGCCATTTTCTATCGATCATTTAGTAAAGAGATTGATTTACCCTTAGAAGAGCTAAAGTGTCCGTTGTGAGTCTCCATTGCCAACGAACATGGGATTTCTACTTCTTCAGTCTACCAGGGTTGTGTTTTGGAGATTTTCGGCGTATCCTTCCCAATTGACTTGATTCTTATTCCCATGGGGGATGTATGTGTGATTGTGGGTATGCACTAGCTGAGTCGTTTTGGTACGATGATCAACTACGAGGGACAATGGGTGGTAGTTCGAACCCCAAGTGGGGGGGGGGACTGG